CACAACATAACCGGTCTTTGTCCCTGAGTGACATTAGATGCAGCTACACAGAGCAAACTCTACTTGCTGCTTCCAATCAGTAATCAGCAATTCAGTTCATACGCCTTTCGGATGACAAAAAGCCAAACCAGGAGCCCAAACTCCCGAAGTGAAAGGCAGAATCCAATGCTCAGATTGCTTGCCGGTACACGATGTCTAAAAAAATAAGAAAAATAATGTGAGCTGTACGTCGTAACGGCGTTTTACTGCTGCGCGACCACCACCAGTCGCGCGCGGGCTGAGTGTACTGCGAGAACGACCACCCCTACGCGGATTCGAACCGGTGACCTTGTGGTTGCAAACCAGGCGCGCAGACCACTCGGCTACCAGCCGGATACAATATCTTCGAGAATAGAAGGGGTAGTGACTTTATTTAGTGGCGAGTCACATCCGCCACGTCACAGTGTTGGTAAATGGAGATGTGTGGCTTTTGTAGGGAGAACAATGCCAGGCGTACAAACATCAGGTCATGGAACACTGCCGCCGAACCGTTCGCCGGAACGGGAAATACCCAGTTGGCACCACGAGGTTGTTCGGCAGGCCAGCTCCAGCCGGAATACGTCGGCGGACACCCATAAGTACAACAGAATCAGTAGGGAACCAATGTCCAAGTTGGCAATTTGATTTGCCAAATGAAGACATGCCTGCGGAAAGTGACTTGACGAATATGCAACCAGTGGTCTTCAGTGGTTTTCAGTAGGCGCTTACTCAGCCCGGATGCCAGCGTACTTTGATGCGCATTCAGAAGACCTGGCTTCGCCGGTTGGCTGGTGTTTATGCGGTCACAGCGACGTTGCGGACATCCGCGGAGACGCACCCGAAGGTCGGCACACACATGGGTGTGATCGGAGTCCACGCTTATGCTCCAAATCGCGCGACAATTTCAGACATTGCCTCTCCAGCGGTAACCGATCGCGGTGTGATCGATTTGTGTCCATGAATGGTGGGTGCTAAGTCGCTCTTCTGAAGGTGCTGTGTCGAGGGTTTGTGCTCGCAGAAAACAGACGAGCATCTTCACACAGGTGTAGCAACCGTTCACCGTTATCATTACGGGAGCCTACGCCATGTTGGCCGCCCAGATGAGCCTCTTTAGAGGACAATTTTCCGACTTGGGCGTTTAGATCACCAGCAGGCACCAAAATATCCGTACGTTTTCTGTAACGAAGGTGATCGTTAAGTTGGTGAAAGAAATCATATTTCACCAAATCCGTACTGCAGTTTGTGGAGGCGTAGGCTGCAATGAAAAATAGGCATCGTTTGTACCCGCGCAACTTCCAAGCCTGGAACGAGCCAGCCAATCTAACGGCGCACATCCGACTGTTGAGTGGAATTCAATAGATCAGGACAGCTTCAGCCCGGAGACTCAAAACAATACCGACGCCACCTTGACTGGCACTTGAAACTGCGTCATAACTAAACAAGCGCAATGAGAATGTGTCACATGTTGGGGTTGCACGGTAAGCACGCAGCTCGAATCTTGCAAGCGAGTTTCCGAGAAATAGCAAATATCGATCGACAGAGTGTTTGGTTTTCGAGCAAGTACTGTCTGTTGGCTAATCTGTTTCAAAGTGCACACACTGAACCATACCAGTCTTGGCGAGAGTCGAGGACACCAAGCGGAGATGGATGAATTGACGAAATCCGCTCGGTTGAACTTGGACTTGTCAAATGGACTGAAGCGACGCCCTGCGATTGTCATTTGAAACTAGAAGACAAGCGACTCTTGATGCAAGGTGGGGGAGAGCCAACAATTGGGAGACTGAAAACAGGGGGATAAAAGTGAAGTTGGAGCGGAACGCCAAGAATGAAAAAGCACAATATCGGGAATAAGAAGACGAGAAGACCTGAGCAGTAGCATCCAAACCACTATACACCCTGTTCGATGCAACAGATAGGGTGCCATTTATAACCAACTGCGACAGCCAAAGCATCAAGAGATTGTTAGAAGGAAAAGTGATGGTGTTGTGTTGCGTGGGCGGGATACTGACAGGTTGCTCAGGCCTAGAGAGAAGAACGATGAGAGTTCTCAACCAAAACCTTTAGTTCAAAAACCTGACCGCTAGGTAACGAGGTTTTAGCACTGGGCTACAAGGGAAACCAACTCCTAACCTGGAGGGACAGGAGACTGAGTTTATCTGGCCTCTAACGTTGATCAATCTGGTATGAGTGGCTCTGAAGGTGCAAAAAACACCATCCAGCATAACTCAATGGATCACTGAGACACACAAACCATCACACCACGTTAAAGTCAAATCTCGTCGCAATGGGCCATCATCATTAACAATAGTACACCAGCATTTTGAACTGATGCTTTGCTGCCATACAACCACGGTGACCAAAGGAACGAAGAACAATAAGAGGAAAAGAGGGACCTACCGTAAAACCTTAGAGCCCTAAACCAACATTCAGGGTCACGGCGCCTACATAATGTCAACAACACACTATCACAAACAGCTGGCCATTGTGCGAAGACAAGGCGACAACAGCGAGACAACGTCATTGCGGCTTTCACTGACCCGCGTAATAATCAGCCGTTACCCCGAAGATAACTCTGCACCAAACACACTCTAAACAGACAGTTCGACTAGGATACTGCAGCAGACGCGCCATTGGTGCTGTCTTATAACGTCGCAAGCCAAACACAAGGCGGGTCACGTGGGCTCCAGTCCGGGAAGAGAGACGAACAAGCGGCACTCGTTTTGTTCGTCAGTGATTTCATTTCCAGCCGCCAAGTCAATTTTTGTCCACCACGAGCCTTGCGCTACCCTACATCTGGCAGACAAAACGGTAATCGGTGACGTAGTACGTGCCCAAGCCAACGCAACTTATTGAGTGCCATTGTTATTCCAAGGAACTAGCATGATTGTCACTGCCTAGGACTCGCCTAAGCAAATTATCGTTGCGGACACACCGAAGTCATCCGACACTAGCAGTGCATCGCAGGCAGCGATAATCAAAGACATGAACGCGCTGCATGTCTTCAGATCGAAGGGGCCAAGTTTCGCTCCTCTTTCTGTCGCCACGGATATCGTAGATTCAAGAAGACAGTTCTAGCTTTGGTGTACGTAAAGTGAATTTAGTGGTTATGCGCTGATCGTTGCTGATACAACTGCCAAAGTAAGTGTATTGATCAACTACTTCAGACTAGTCACACTGCCGAGCATAGCAGGTCATACGCCCGTGAGCACGATCAATCACGTGAGTTTTGGCTAGTTTGTTGGGGACTATTTGGCTCGAAAAAGACGGAAGACAATCACTGAGTGGCAGGTGTACCCATCCCCAATCGCCAGACGCAGCCAGTGGCACTCGTGCTCTGGGTCAGCTGAGCTAAGTTTATAACCAGATAACGTTCTATGAGGACAGAGCCGTCGATATTTCACGAAAATAACGTTAGAAAGCTGTTATCCGACTTTTTTTAATTAAAACTGGCTCCAAAACAGCTGCAAATTGCCACCTAAAGTAGCTCAACGGGGCGAATCTGTCACACCATGCTGAGACCTAGTCACATAGTGATGGACCGAGACTGTACGGTTTTCATCGGTCCACGCTTCAGCTACAATTCGGTAACAAACAATGACTAGTGTCGCCGTGCTGAGTAGAATCACCAATGACATGGAAAATATCGGAAAATGTAGAAAAAATATAAGAAAATGGATCACGTAAAAATTGATAACCGTGCGGGAATGCTGAAGACTAATACCGACAAAAGAACACACGTCGTTTGTCAACGTCGGCTCTATTCAAGGATAAAGTGATAAAGAGGTTACAAGTAATGAACTAGTGCATGAACAGCTCTAGATTGTGAAGCTGCCGTTGGAGTACGCAAGCGAGCGGTCAGAAATACGTGATGACATTCGGTCCTAGAGACACTGGACGCGTAAACGGATTTCATCCGCACTAAGTTAGAAAGCAATGGAGAACCTGCCATGATTAGAAAAAAGCATCCTGCAGTCCGTAATGATACGAGAAGTATTACGATTGTGAAGAAGAGCGGTACTCTCTCAACCCTTTCTAGTAAGACACTTCGAGCTGGTAAACAGTGGGTAAATCTGTCCAAAACTGCTGTGCAAAGCCAGTTTAACCTGGAGTATGTATTATATCGGACAATTTGCATGGGCACATGACCAAATATCCTTCGAAGCAAATGGAAGAACACTGTTCTACCATTCAGTTGCTCATTTGTTCGCCGAGCTGCAAAATTGGTTTGCAAACGTTTCACCGTCATGCGAGACGGCATCATCAGTGCGTCGAGATGTGGAGTGTAATCTCGCTGATTGAGTTTGCAAAACAATTTCGCAGCTCGGCGAACAAATGAGCAACTGAATTATCAACCCGAGCTACCAGTTTTCCAAAACATTTTAAACTGTTCTACCATGTTATGCAACATGATACGGTAAAGACATGTCTCGTTCTTTGTCATTTGCGCAGTGGAGACATGGAAAGCGGGGTAATCACACAAAGGATTCTGCATTATTCTGAAGCGAAACCTGAAAGAGCGACGGTTGGCCATATCTAATGCTGTCGTAAATAAAGAGATTTCGTGCGAGCCCTCATCTCGATGTGATCTTAGCGAATACACCTGAATTTTCCGGGTACTGGAATAATATACAAATGGATAACCGATGGTAGTCATTATCAGTGGATTCAGATCAACCTTTCAATCATTCCGCCGCGCTAATTCTTCTTGTAGTTCATAGCTTGTATCTCTATACCACCACGAATGACGTCGTTCTGCACAAGTAATAAGATCGATCCCACAAAGACGGCACACATCGCTAGGCGCAGCATTCACCTAATGAGCATTTCGTACTGGCTGTTGTAAAATTCCAAATAAATATAAGACATCCCTGCAAACTTCCCGTTCAGCTTAAAGACGCACATCTCTCTGTGTGTGTGTATTGCGAAAGTCATCGAGACACCTTCGATAGCAGTCATGGTTGTAGTCTCGTAAGCGCCAAACACCGTATTATTTCTGTTGACTAACATGTGCACAACCCGATAGTACTGCATTAACATGAGACGACCAGCAACCGCATGGCAAAGGACGCTTTTTGCAGTACGAATAGCAGTAGGCCCAAAACAGCTTTGAAAAGATTCAGGTACAAAGATGTGGAAGATCAAAAAGCAAGCTTTTTAATCATAAGATATACATGTTTGCCAACACGAAAACCTTGTAGATTGCTTGCGTCTCCAGTTAATTGCATTAGCAGACCTCCAAATGAAACATAACACGAAAGCCGGCTCGCATCAACTCCGCTGTCATGGGCTTCTATCCGATAAATTTTTCCATAGCAAACATAATCGAACTCTGCCATTTTGCTGTTGGCTAAACGTTCATCCGTCTCTTCGGCCGCATCATCTTCATCATCATCATCGGCATTCATTTCGTTTAGTAGATTTTTGGTCAATACCATGCGAAACTTGTCACCCTTGGCAAGCCGATAGATAAGGATATGAATATCAAGAATGAGACCCATTTTGAAGGATTCGCTTTCACAAAAGAGTCGGGAAACTTTGTCGAATTTCTTGCCATCTCTATCTACGTCCTTCACATCAAAAATATCCTCTAAGAGTGCAGACATCTGGTAACAAATGCTGAATCGGTCTAAAAAAAAAGAAATCGAAAAGAAACCTGTTACTAGGTAAGACGAAGAAAAAGGATGCTCCAAGCATAACAGTTAAAAAATAAGACAACTATATCAGTAACATTTGACACTTAGTGCAGACGTACATCACCGAACTCCATTGGTTCTATAACTTTTCTCAGCCTATTTCATCCATAACGCGTTCAAAGTCCTCCTTGAGGAAATCATATTCCTCCATAGACCTCTCAAGTGGGTCATTAACGCTATCAAATTGCATCCAACAGGCGCAAATGGCATTCAATGCTACTGTTCATTGAGTGACCAACTTCAAATCAGCCAATAGCACCCCACCCTGTGTACTTATCTGTTATAGTATCGTTTGATTTGGGACTGGTTACCCAGCAAACAATACGCATTTTAGGTGTGTTTGCACCCGTTGGATGCAGCTTGATAGCATTAAGGTCCATCTTGAGAGATTTAAGGAGGAACATGATTGTCTTAAGGAAAAATTCGAGAGCGTTATGGGCGCAATTGATTGAGAAAATGAATTGAAAGATTATTTGGCTACCCCCTAGTCATGTGACCGTACACCTCAATGTCATGAATTGGGACAAAGAAAAGATGTCTGCGTTGACAAGTGATGCCATCTCTTTATATTGCTAAAATAGATTGATCTCAGAGTCACTGAAAGTCTGATGATACCACCTACCGAGACAATGCACTGTGCATAAGATGCATGCTACTCGGTGTTAACCATCATAATGCAAGGATACTTTGGTGCCAGATAATTGAGGATAGTGTAAACGACCATTGACAAATATAGGCAGTGAGAGTGTAGAACTTCAGAGTGCCCAGGCCGAAAGAAAGGTGGATTGGGAGACCCCATCCAGGACTCTATGCCATAAGGAACTGTCTGGCAAGGTCGATTGATGTACACCACAAACTGTTGAAGGTCAGTGAAAAATGTTTTGATGCCGTATTTTGTGTGGTACCAAACTGCACGGAATGCCCAGAGAACCCCAGAGTAGCAGCATAGAGGTCAGGAAAAGTTTCTAGGACTACGGAACTCTGTCATATCCAGAAACCACTAATAGTCAGGTGCTCGAGTCCACACAGAGCCGGTGGTATAGAGGTTTCCAAACTGCCCTCCGTCGAACTGTTAAATCCATTCGCAGATGCAATGCCGCAAGCTCGGTGGGTAAACGGTTAAGAAAACACAATTCGAAGTGCGTTGGAAACGATTTCAATCGGCAATTGATGTACACATCATTCATCCATGACACTGCTTTAGGATGCCGCTTCAGTAGCTGCGAAGGCGGGTGAATTCTGGCTGGTTTGCACGTGATATTGGCCATGGCTATCCAGTTGTTAGAAGTAGACTGGTGGTAGTAGTAGTAGTAGTAGTAATCTCAACAGTCCATTAACTAGACACAGAGCCAGCATACAACCATGGAGATCAGCAGATAAGCAAGATTCGTCGCGTCATAACCATCGTGGCATGCTAGTTGAAGGTGAGCAACACACTTCAACTAATATGCCGCAAGGAAGAATGGAACATTTTGACATAAGTAGAACAAAAAATTTTAGTTTGTTTTTCACACGCCGCTTCTGCGCTTTTTTTGTCATTTCATTCTTTGTAGTATTAAACCTGTGAATCAATACAATACCGTACACAATTCTTCCACTGATTCTGGTTGCGGACCATATCTTCAAGAGTGCTAAGCCATTGGCACTCCTCATCTTTGGGTCCCCATCCTGGAAGATGTACGGATCCAACAGCGGATAGGCACGACGTCAGCCATTTCATGTGCTGCCGCCAAGTGGAAGGCTGACCACCACGCGATCGCCTCCAGCCAGGTCCTTTACGAGCGAATAGTGCGCGACGCGGTGGACGCTCAGGTGCCATGCGTAGGACGTGACCGAGCCATCTTAACTGGCGCAACAAAACCAGTTTGTTGAAGGGAATACTCGCATTCCCCAAGATGCGACGTCGAACGTCATTACTATTAACTCGATGTTGCCACCAAACACGAGCGATCCTCCTTAAGCAACCGTTATCGAACGCAGAAAGATGACGCATGTTTTCCACGCGAATCGGCCAGGACTCGCACCCATACAACAATACGGAGCGAACTGATGCGCTGTAAACGCGACCCTTTATCGAGAATGAGACGTCGCAACGACGCCATAAATGCCTCAGATTGACAAATGCTGGTGGGCAGCTTGGTTCATATCTGGTGGAAGCACCGCGTGAGTAATGAGAGTGTTCGGCATCGTGTATCTGGCGCAGAAAGAGCTGGTGAACCGCTCAGCAAGGTTATTTTACGCACCAGGCTCCGATGGCTGAGCCACGTGTTACGCATGCTAGCAAACCGACTCCCGTGGCGTGCGCTGTTTGCGCGATGGGGATGTGGTTGGAAGAAAAACAGGGGAGGCCAAGCGATGACTTGGTCAAGAGGAATAAAAACATTTCACTTCGAAGTTGTCGTCCGTTGTTATTTCCTAACTGCCGGGTTGGGGTCAGGGGGACGATGAACGCGTTTGTTTGAATACACTTGTCGAAATGGCGAGGACCTGATCTCAGTGGCGTGTGTTGTGAGTCTCTTGGTCCCTTCTCATCCCGCTTAGCTTCTCTCTCTAAAAACGATGTCGTACCCAATGCGTAAAATAATATTTAGCATTATAGTACTTTTTAATTGCTGTATTCTAATAATATTAGATGGCTGACGTTTTCTGTATTGCGGCACATCAGCTGAAGTTGTTTTTTCACTCTGTCATTGTGTATTGGCGATGAGGACACCCTTGTTTTGTTTACCGGATGTAGGGTGGCACAAGGCCTGAGAAAGGCGAAAGCTAACAGCAGCAAGAAATGAAGTCACTGACTACTGGACTGGGTGCTGTTGGTTAGTCTCAAGCTCCATGACAGAGTTCACGTAACCCGCCTTGTAGTTGGCTGGAGGCGCAACATGACATGGTTGGCAGTCGGCACTAGTGACGTGCCTACTGTCGTCTCGCAATCAGAGTGCCTGTTTAAAGTGTTTGGTGCTGAGTCGTCGGCTGCGTAATAGCAGGCAGTGAAAGGCGCAAGGAAGCCACCATATATTTGCACGACAGGAAGGTGTTTGCAACTATGTTGTTGACATTGCTGGCGCCTTAACTCAGATTGCTTGCACAGAGCATACAGGTTCCAAATAAGATCTGCGTCCTCATCCTCTCAACATTCATCAAGCCTTACAATAATAATGATGACAATAAAAATACTAATACCAATAATAATAATAATAATAATAATAATATGCGTCAGCTGTCATCAACAGCATCATCAATAACAACAGTACATCAGCCATTTGAACTGATGCTTCGCTGCCGTACAACCATGATGACCGATAGAATAAAGGAAAACAGGAGGGAGAAAAGAAGGACATACCTGGAAATCTTAATGCCCTAAGCAAACATTCAGGATCAATGCGCCTACACCTCGTGTAGACATCACCGTCACAAACAGCTGGCTATCGTGCAAAGACAAGGCGGCATCGGCGAGACAACTTCCTTGCGGCTTTCACTGCCACGCGTCGTAATCAGCCATCATCCAGTAGACAACTCAGCACCTAACACAATTTAAACAGGCAATCCGACAAGAAGACGACAGCAGACGCGCCACTGGTGTCAACTGTAACCGATGTCCTGCAGTCTCTTGAGCCAAGCGTAAGGCGAGTCACGAACTCCAGCTCGGAAGGCGAGGCGGACCAACGCACCCAGGTTGGTCGTCAGTGACTTCATTTCCCGCTACCAAGCCGACTTCTGTCCACCTCGAGCCTTGCTCCATCCTATACCTGGCAAACTAAAAAGGTTCTCCTAGGTAAGCGGTGACCGGGCATCCGTAGCACATGCCCGAGCCAACGCAACTTATTCAGTATGATCTATTGTTCTAGAGAGTTAGCACGATTAACACTACCTAGTATTCGCCTACACACATCATCGTTGCGGACATGCTGGTGCCATCCGACTCCAGCAATGCTTCGCAGACAACGATGATCAAAGGCTTGAAGGCACCACAGATTTTCAGATTGAAAGGGCCAAGTTTCACTATCACTGTGGAGGACAACTCTCACTGTGGCCTTGTATACAGGATCTTTCAGACGAAGGGAAACTCCCTTCTGTCCACAAAGATGATGCGGATTCAATAAAGCTGTTCTGGGATTTGCAATGCGTGAACTGACATTAGTTTCTATGCACCCGTCTTGCCGATGCAGCTGCCAACGTAGGCGAATTGATCAACCACCTCGAATTCCTCGTTAGCAAGCGTCAAGGGCTCATCAAGATACTGGAAGTCCTGCAGCAACACTTTGCACTTTGAAGGTGCAAAGTGCATACCGAATAATGGGACCACTCTAAACAGAAAATTCAGGGTTGATTGTGCTGCCCCAACATCATCGAAAAGCAAGACGATATCGTCCGCATAATCAAGATCAACTAATCTTTCACCAGGCAGCGCTTCAGCGTCTATACCGTGAGATTCCGAAAGAAAACACTCCATGATAATGTTTACGAAGAAACTGAAAAGGAACGGGGAAATCGGACAACTCTGACGAACGTCTATTGTGGTCGGAAAGCTACGCGACAGGTCACCGTAGGCTCTGACGCGGCCTGTAGTGTTCGAGTATAGAGCACGAAGGATGTTCACGCATTTCGAGGGAACACCCTTCCGCATAAGTATTTCGAACAAAATGCATCGATCGACTGAATCGAACGCACTCTTGAAATCGAGGAACACAGCTATTGTCGGTCTGCAACATGCGGGGCGCTGCTCTAGCACCTGCCGCAAAGTAAATACATAGTCTATACAAACAAGTCCTGAACGGAAACCTGCCTGCTTTACTCCAATCCGAGATTCCCGTTCCACAGTGAGGCGACGAACAAGAATCGAGGCCAGTAATTTTGTCCCAACTGGTGTTGGCCTAATACCCCTGTGGTTACCACAGTCTGTGCGACTGCCCTTCTTGTATATTGCCACTATAATC